GAAGACATTACCCTTAAAAATTGAAAAAATTTCCCTCGTTCCCCGTAAATGGGGGAAACCTCCAAAAGAATTACAAATTTAAAAATCACTAATTTTCGAAATTTTTTCAATTTTTTTTACTAAAAACTGCCGTAACTTTTTCAAAAATGAACATATCAATATATATTATGAATTGATACATATAATTTATAATAATAAAATAATTTATTTTTAAATAACAAAAAAAAACCCAGCACAGTGAAGTGGCGGCACAGTAAGGTCGTAGCATAGTTGGGTCCAGTATAGATGATATCTGACAGTGATTAAAAACACTATCATAAAAACGCTTCGATGCAAATCTAAACTTTGATATGATATATGCTTAAAGGACACAGTATTTCCGGAACATTTTCAAAATTTCAGTTGAAAAAGATCTATGTTTTTGACAATATTTCAAGTTTTGAATGCCCCCTATATAAGGGGAAATTGTCCAATTTTAATAATAAGTATGTCAAATGAAAGATGTACTTATAATGTATTTAGAAAAATTTGTGCTGATATATACATTTTTCAAAAAGTTATAGCATTTTTAAGTTGAAAATTTAAAATCCAAAATCCAAAATTTTAACACAAAAATAGCGTTTTTTTAACTACGGCAGCCGTTTAAATGTAGAAGAAAAAGTGTCGATACAAATTTTTTTTTTTCATTTTATAGTACATAAAATAAGTTTTAATTTTATATATGTTTGAAGGACGCAGTATTTTCGGAACATTTTCAAAAATTAAGTTGAAAAACTTAATTTTTGTAAAAAAGTTACTATTTTAAATCCCCCCCCATTGAGCAGGTTAAGTGATAGATTTTAAAAAAAAAGATATCAAATGAAAGGTAAATATCTAAGGTTTTAGTATAAAAAAAATTATGTTGATTTGTTGATTTTTCAAAAAGTTATAGAAGTTTTAAGAAAAAAAAATGAAAAAATTTCGAAAATTAGCGATTTTTAAATTTGTAATTTTTTTGGATATTTCCCCCATTTGCGGGGAACGAGGGAATATTTTTAAATTTTTAAGGGTAATGTCTTCAACTAGATACGA